GGTGGCGGTGGTGGCGGCGAAGGCGGTGGCGTGGGCTGCGGAGGCGGGGGAGATGGAGACCGCCCCGGCTCCGGTCCAGGCTTGGAGCAACCAGTCATACCGAAGCGACGAACGACCTGTAACAAAATGAGCGCTTTCATTCTTGGTCCGATGTGCTTCTTTCTTTGGGAGTTTCTTCCAGGGAGAGTTGCTGTCACAAAGTTTGCTCACTACTTTCCCATTCTTCTTTTACAAACCATCCTGAGTATTTTCCCTGAGTTGGAATCGATTCCGCTCTACGATCCAACTCATGCTTTATAGCAGATAGCGAAAACGTACTACGGGTGGGGAAGGAGTGATTGCAGTTCATTAGGGTGACAATGAGAAACTGCTCTCTACAATTTAAACTAAAGACCCGTACCTTACAAAAGACTAAGCACTAAAAGAGTTTTTGAGATAAATTAAAGATGCTGGATCGACTTTCTCACATTTCAATATTTGCAATTTTCGAACATTCAGAGAGTTCAACAAAAATTAGACCTGCGCCATTCTTTGAGCGTCCTTTGCTTTATCTGAGAAAAAAAGGGGGGATGGGAGCAGCTTTTAAGAAGAAAATATAAATTGCCTTTAGTTCAAGTATCATTACGCTAAAATGGGTTGTTTTTAAACTTGAGGTGATACAACTTTCTTGCATTATTTCTAAATTTAGAAATTTTCGAAAATTCAGTAGTCTCAACAAATGGTTCTTTGCTCTATTTGCAGCAAAAAAATGTGAAGTTTTTGAGAAAATGTGTTTTTATGAATTGTATTAACTTTAAGAAGAAATTGCAAGAAAACTAGTAGCTTAAAAAAATAATACATGATTTTTACAGATCTGCACAAATTTAGGAACAGCTTTGTATTACAGACAAAAATTTCTTCACCTTGGTACTTTTGTAATGTTCATAGTATTTTACGAAAATAAAGGGAATTCGCTGAAAATGAGACTAAAACCTTTTTTAAGCGTCCTTGGCTAAAAGCGAGGAAAAGTATAGACAATTAGGGATTTCAACTGAATTAAGATCTGTGACATTCTTCTAAACATTCTCTATGTTCCTAAAGAACAAAGTTTAAGAAAAATTGTCGTTTTTGAGAAAATTTAAAAAATGTTGTCGAAGCTTCATGTAAAGTACCCTCAAATTCAAAATATCAATTTCATATTCCCAGGACATCAAGTTCGTTGAGGTCGATCGTATCAAATTCGAGTGATATCGTCCGAACGGTTCGAAAGGCGCTAGCACTGACCACAGACAGTCAGACATCCAGACGCTCTCTTGTGAAAAAAGCACGGAAAACTCTTTCAAAGTCTAAAACGCGGATTTCTACAGACATGCTTGTGACATATACCACTTCGAAGAAAATTCTGTGTTGAATACAGTTAATTTCGAAAACGTGAATTTACTGCGTTATGAACTTTATGCAAAGTTATCTAAAATTCGCTTCGGCCCAGGGCAGGTCGGGGAACCACGCGCGCAGTGGCTCAGACTCGAATGACACTCCAGCTATTGATTCTTCGAAAACGCTGAATACGATTTCCCATGAAGGTAACTTATAGGACAGGAAACTTTCAACTACACGAGAGCTCGTGCATTTGGTAGCACCAAACCACGTGCTTGCTAACTCTCAGTACCAACCTTCCAGACTGGTAAAATCGTAGAGTGACGAATCGATACGAATATCTATCAGTTGTAAAGAGAGCAGTTGAGAAAGAAGTGTGTAAGTTTGAGGACGATATTGACATCAACTTGCAGTGTCAGGATCTCGTTTATTAATACAATGCGCCAGGAAACTCTCTTCGCACCGAGACGAGTCTGGGCCTCCTATTAAAAACTGCATTTATGTTCGTAGTAACCCCATCACTGCGAAACAAGTGAAGAAGACAATATTTCCAGCGTCTATTATGATCTGTGATGAGTACGCAATTTACTTGTGTTCTTTTACAATTTACTACAAGCTGCAGGTAGTTCTACCAACATAAGTTCTGATGCAAGCACTCTCACCTGGAAGGTGCCACTGCGAAGAGACTTTCCTGGCGCACTATATAATTTTAGAATTGCCGTTAAGCAATGCTAAAATTATATTACGGCGAGCTACAGTCGATAGTTAGCTTAGCGTCTATTCTAAAAGTGTTTGACTTCACCTTAACGAAAACAATGTAAGCAAAGGGATTATAATTTGGATAAGGTAATCATTAAATGCTGCAGTGCATGGCAGAATGTCTTTTCCATCAAGGGGCCTTTTTTATGACGATTGGTTGTCATGATAAAGTAATAAAGGAATTTTGCTGACTTGTATTGCACAAGATGTGACGTACAGATATTTCACTGTATGTTTCGGTTCCGCAAGGAAGCCGGTGACTGCCCGTGACTGGTACTATTGTGTTATGGCACTTCGACATCTTCCAAATACGACAATTCTTACAGTTTAAAAAATATCACATACTTCATTAAAACATTAATAAGAACAGATGACTCTGGTTTTTAGTTTTGAAAGTGATTACCACTGTAGCTGCTGACGACACGGTTCCTCACATTCCAGTTGATGATTCACTTCAAAATGACGCGAATTCACATTTAAAAGTAATACAACAATAATTGGGAATGCTTTTAATAAACAGATCTTCGTGTTTTAAGGAACCAGTATACGTCTTGAAAGATGTTCCTGACCACGACCCGTGAGCCGACGGCTGACCTGTACAATTTCTCAAAATATCGATTTTCCGTTATGATAATACATTGACATGACTTTAGTTTTAGTTAACTTTTAGTGTGACTAGAAGAACTCAAAATAGAGAAGATAGCATATGTAGGTGCCTATATTCACTGGAGAGTCACGTGTTATCATTGGAGCTGTCTCGAATCTCGCCTGGATAAAGTAATTATGATACACCCGTGTTATTGTTGTGCGCGGAATACCGGGCGACTCTTTGCTCCATATCCGCGTGTTATTAATATTACCATGGAAATGCCTCGACAGTGTAAATATAATCCAAACACATTTTGCCACGTGTGTGATTCCTTCACAAAAATG